GGGAGGTCATCTCAAATCTCCCATCCCACCTCTGCATTCTCAAATCCCACCTCTCATCTGGACACCAAGGAGGCCAGCTCAACTGCTGGGCCCTATCGACATTGTTGCTTTGCTAAGTGAGCAAAATCAGGAGTCTCCTAGGCTAGTGCCTTCACCACTATCTCTTGAGAATGGACGAATCACTCTAGGCCTAATTTTCCTCATCTGTCAAATGGTGGAGTGGACAAGGGCTACATTTCTTCCTCTTTTTCTGCAAGTACTGGTTATCCCCAATTTGTGCTTGATATAAAAACTTCAGTGCAGCATGTGTAAGGGAAAGAGTCAAACCAGAATTTCCACAGCCAGCATCCAGGCAGTACTCAGGCCCACTTTTCTCACCCATCCCTGAACAGGCTGTCCAGCACCTGCAAGCACTTTTTTTTGGGGGGGAGGGCTGGTTGTGGAGCTTGAACTCTGGGCCTGGGCGCTGTCCCTCAGCTCTTCAGCTCAAGGCGAGCGCTCTACCACTTGAGCTACAGCTCCACTTCCAGTTTTCTGGTGGTTAATTGGAGATAAGTGTTTCATGGACTGCCTGAGTTGGCTTTGAAACGTGATCCACAGATCTCAGCCTCCTGAGTAGCTAGGATTACAGGCATGAGCCTCCTGTGCCCAGCTTGTAAGCACTTTTTATTGGGAAGTGAATAAAACCTAAATTAAATCTTCACTTCTTTAATGGTTCTGATATAGTAGGTGGAATGGAAGAGTAACATGAGTCTGGATGGTTCTTAAAAGCAGCCAGGCACTGGTGGATCACACCTGTAATTATAGCTACTGAGGAAGATGAGATCTGAGAGTCATGGTTTGAAGCCAGCCTGAGCTGGAAAGTCTGTGAGACTCTTAACTCCAATTATGCACCAAAAAGCCACACATGGAACTATGTCTTATGGGGTAGAGTGCTAACCTTGAGCAAAAAGATGTCCAGGCCCTGAGTTCAAGCCCTAGGATTCTATCTCTCCCTTTCTCACACACAAGAAAAACACCCAAATTCAGATCTTAAAGCCCAAATCTACATAAAGAAGTTTAATTCCAATACTTCCAGTGACAATAAAAATTACAAGAGACACAAGGAAACAGTCTTAAGTAACAGTGGTTAGGGAGGCTGACTTCGTGGCTACTCTGCTTAAATTGCAGCATTACCTTTGCATTTCTTGTACAATGACAAAACTGTCTTTACAAAGAAATATTTCTTTCAAGGATAGAGTAAAAGAGATACATATCAAACAGCCTAATAACCATCTCTTTAGTCAACATCACTGTTGATAAAACTGTATATTTATCTTTGTTGGGATGTCTGGCCTTGTTTTAATGAGTAAAGCAATCAGATTTGGGGGCCTTAAAACATTTGTGTGTGAGTTCAGTGTCTCAGGTATTTAGCAGTCATTTACAATGTGCAAGGCACTAACTAGCGAGTTAAAAGATGAGTAAAACACCCCAAGGGCTCGGGGTCTGTGGGGGAGCCATGTGCAAGATGCACGGCCTGGCCTGGTCTGAGGGCTGTAAAATACAATATGATAAGAGTCCAGAGAAGTAAGGAAATGCCTGTAAACATGGGGCCATCAAGGAAAGTTTCATGGTCTTCCAATATATTTATTGTGATTCTGAAGACCAAGGCATTATACATGACAGGTGGATGCTGTACCACTGAGTTGTACCCCTAGCCTTGGGTGGAATTTTTCCATACTTAAGAGATTAGAATCTGGACTGTTTTTGGGGTTGTGGGGGTTGTTTGGTATTTTTTGGCGCCAGTTCCAGAGCTTGAACTCAGGGCCTGGGCACCTGAGCTTCTTCGCGCTAGGCTAGCACTCTACCACTAGAGCCACAACTCCACCTCTGGCTTTTTGGTGATGAATAGGAGATAAGAATCTTCATGAACTTTCATGTTGGGGTTGGCTTTAAAGCTTGCTCCACAGATTGCTGCCTTCCGAGTAGCAAGGATTACAGGTGTGAGCCACCAGCACCCAGGTAAGGGCCTTTTTAAAATGCAGGAATGGAAAATTGAAGCATATAGGGGCTTCAGAACATGAAAGGAAGAGAATACAGTTTGGATGGAGCATAAGATAGGTATAGGAGAGAAGATCAGCATGGGTGGCGAAGGGACTTCAGGGCTTCTAAGTTAAAGCTTGGCTTTAAGTAGGTGGTGAATAATAAGGAAAGCTTTACAGCAGGAAAAGTGATGTAATCAATTTTGGCTGAGGGAAATTCCTTGGCCTGGTCAAGTTGTTAAATGCTGGTCATAGTTGAGGAAGACAGGATGGGAAGATGAATCCCAGGAGAAGAATAAATGAGTCCTGAGCCATGGCATCAGAAATAAGGCATAAATTTGGTAGAGCAGGTGTTTAGAATTCAGTGAAAATAGTATCAGATCCTACTCTCCTTGTATGATTGTGACCAGAACTCTGGTCATATCTCAAAATGTCCATATGAGTTTTCTGTGAGACTGTGAATTATCTTTGTGAATCATTTGTTATAGCTATAACAGAAGGTAAATGCTATTGTCACAAACACTCATAATCCACTAAGTGAAAATGGAGGAAGGAAATATGTTGGCCCCATTGACTCATGGGAGTTCTCAAAGGCAGTATTGGTAGCTAGGAACATGGCATCTGGAAGCTGACTGGCTGTGTTTGGATCATCCTCTTGCCACCACTCATCAGTTGTGATTGTGTACAAGCATCTAACCCCTTGCCACCATAACCTGTTTCATAGCCCTCCATGGAGTGGCGATGAGAATAAAGTGAGGTCACGTGAGTGCGTGCTATGTGTGCTGGTTACTTTTCAGGTGCCTAGAGAAATACTAGCTGTTAGGATAAGGGTGAGGATGCAGAGTGGGATAGCTTTGTCCTGTACATTGCAGAAGGATATGCAAGCAGTGGGGAAGGGTGAAAGGGACAGAGCAGGGACAGGATGGGGCATAAGGACCAAGATCCAGGGAGAACTATCAGGGCTGGAGATGGGCATACAATAATCCTGGCAAATTACCGTAACTCATCAGGAAGATGTACTGGGAATGCAATGTAGAAACCAGCCCAGGTAAGTCATCAGACAGACTTAAAAAATCATCGGGGGGGGGGGGGGGCCTGGGAAGGTGGCTCAGTGGTAGAGCGCTTGCCTTGCATCCATGAGGCCCTGGGTTCGATTCCTCAGCACCACATAAGCAAAAAGAAAAAAGCCGGAAGTGGCGCTGTGGCTCAAGTGGTAGAGCGCTAGCCCTGAGCTGAAGAGCTGAGGGACAGCGCCCAGGCCCAGAGTTCAGGCCCCACAACCGGACCCAAAAAAAAAAAAAAAAAATCATCCGGGGGAGGAAGTGGCACTGTGGCTCAAGTGGTAGAACGCTCACCTTGATCTGAAGAGCTGAGGGACAGTGCCCAGGCCCAGAGTTCAAGCCCCACAACCGACCAAAATAAAAAAAGAAAAGCCTAAAGTTATGGCCAAATCTCAACAGGACTTCATTTTTTAAAAAGATAATTTATTCTTGAAACAGGGAATTTTGGTCAAGAGCTCTGTATTAGAGACTAAGGAAGTTATTGTTTGTATTCATATTGTAACCACTCAGAAGTGTCTTCATTCTTACCAGATACATTCTACCACACATATGAAGAGGCAAGAAGACACACAAATAGGGCAAAATATTAACCATGATTGAGTCTAGGTGGTGGCCACAATTATGGATCTTGATTGTACTGCCTTTCAACTTTTTCTGGTTGCTAAGGTTTTATTATTGTGTTGGTCCTGGGGCTTGAATTCAGGGTCTGGGTGCTGTCCCACAGTTTTTGTGCTCAAGGCTAACACTCTACCACTTGATCCGCAGCACCACTTCCAGCTTTTTTTTTTGGGGGGGGGGGAGTAGTTTAGTGGAGATGAATCAGACTTTTCCTGCTTGGTCTGGCTTCAAACTGCAGTCCTCAGATCTCAACCTCCTGAGTTTCTATGATTACAGGTGTGAGCCACTGGTGACCAGTAGATTTTTTTGTTTACTGAGACTGACAAGCCTGAGGGGAAAAGTGAACCAATATACACCAGGAAATGGAATTCTCTGGAGGAAAGACACATTCTACCTCCCAAAAGAGGGATTCCAATAAGAGAATAAGGGGAAAGTTCATATTTTCTCTTTGAGAGGCTGTGGTGGTCTGGAAAGTCCAATGCTGCTTAGGAAGGTGATCTGCAGTGAAGGAGTAAAACATGGAATATTGGCAGTAAGGAAAACCTGATCCTTCTGGGCTGAAAACCCAGTATAAGGAGACAGTATTGCTGAGGAAAGAAAGGGAGAATAAGAGTAAAGGAGGAATGGAACAGGAAGAGGAACGGTATGAAATTAACTAAGACAGGAAGACATGGCTTTAGAAGGAATGTTTTCTCCTTTGATCCAGAGTGAGATCTGAAGATAGGGAAGGAACTCCTCCTCTTAGTGATAAGAATGAAGCTAATATTTTGCTTGAAAGGGCAGAAGTGCGCAGCAGGAAAGAGAGAATAAATGCAGTACACCTGTCCTTGGGTCTGAACCAGCGAAAGAAGAGAACTGAGGGAAGCTGGGTGAGCAACCCTGGGAGAGGGAAGGGAATTATCCTGGTGGGGTTCTGGAGAGGGTGATGTTAAAGAACAGTCCTAGAAATGTAAAGTCCCCTTTTCCAGACCTCGTGAGGAGTTGAATGGGGTTCTTCTTTCAGATGCTTGAAGGTTGAACTTGGAGACCTTAACCTACACCTCCAGTGGTAGGAATTGAGTGAATCTGGGCAAAATCTTCATTTCCACCGTCCCGTCCCCTCAGGCACACGGTATGATGAGTCTTTGGTGTATGAAGAAGTTTTGGTCACCAGGCCTATGAGCCCCAACAAGGGTGACTGGAGCCGTGGATTTCCCCGCGGTGCCGTCCGTTCTGCATTCGGGCGCTCCGAAGGGCCGCAGCACTCATGTTAGGCCAGTGGGGCTTCTGTGCCCAGCGAGGCGGTTTGGGCTCTGCGCTGGGGCGGGCATCCCATGGAAGGTCCCACCAGTGGCAGCAGCGGGCACCAGCGGGTGGACGCGGCCACGCCCTTATATCAGGATCTTTGTGATGACGCCTCGGTCTACGTTCCCGTCTTCTTCAGGTTCGTCTTTGAGCGGCAGGGGAGGCCCAGTGGCACAAGCCAGGGCGCTCTCGTGGCGACTTAGCTCCAGCAGCCGCGCCTGCAGCAACTCGCGCTCCGCCTGCAGCGCGCGCCCTCGCTGCTCCAGGGCGCGCTCCTCTTCCTGCAGGGCGCGCCGCCGCTGCTCCAGCGCGCGCTCGCCCTGCTCCACGGCCGCCTCGCGCCGCTCCAGCTCGCGCTCGCGCCGGCTGCCGCGCACCGCCAGCGCGCCCATCTGCTCCAGCAGGCGCGCCCACTCGCCCTCGGCGGCCCGGGGCGGCGAGCTCCGGGCTCCGCTCTTCTCCAGCTCCCACCGGTGCGCGCTCCTCAGGTGCCTCCACAACGCAGGCGTCCCCGCCTGCAGGCCCACCTGCTCCCCGCACAGCCGGCAGGTGGCCCAGATGCCCGAGGGCTGCCCGGGACGTGCGGGGGCCAGGTGGAAATAGCCCCAGGCCTCGGAGTACGGAGCCCCGAGGTGGCCTGGAGGAACCGGCACCAGCCCGGGACACGGGCCGCCCAGCGCTGCCTCGTCCTGCCCACCGCTCTCCTCCATGTTCACGGCAGGCTCTTCACTCCTCATTCCTTCCTCTGGATCGACATGGGAAAGAGGTGGGGCGAGGGGTGGGGATGGAGGAGGAATAATTACAAATTTCCGTTAGATACATACAACTCCAGTAACCAACCAGTCACCAGACCACAGACATCCCAGTAAAGCAAGCAGCGGGTGTGTGTGTGTGTGTGTGTGTGTGTGTGTGTGTGTGCCTCCTTCAGGCTAGGCGTGTGTGTGTGTGTGTGTGTGTGTGTGTGTGTGTGTGTGTGCGCCTCCTTCAGGCTAGGCCCCGTTAGGGCCTGTCCACTGCCCCTTAGCTTTTTTACTGAAGCTTGAACTCTACCCACAGCTTCACTCACGGCTTTTTGCTGGTTAACTGTGGGTAAGAGTTTCTTGGATTTCCCTGGGATCCTTAGATTTCAACCACCTGATTAGGTGGGATTACAGGCATGAGCCATCATTGCTTGACTTCTGCTCCTCTCACAGGCACCTGAGACATAAAGCAACAATGGTTTTTATTGCTTTCTCTAATTAAACAGCTCATCTACTATATCTGGAAGGCAGAAAGCTTGCTGAATGCTTCCAACAAAAGAAGGAAAAGAAAACTAATAGTGTATTGCTTAGTCTAACAAATATTTGTGTTAAAGGAACTCTAATGTGAAAAGGGTCACTGCCACACTTTTCCACTAAAAAGATAACTCACCACTGCAATAATTTATTCACAGAAAGGGTAACAAGTCACAAGAAACCTAATGTATGATTCTAGACAAACACCTCAAAAATGAACAACAACAACAACATAAGACAAACTGAGAGAACCAGGCCTAGACAGCTAGGGATGCCAGCTTATCCAGTCAGTTCTGAGCCAGCAGCAGAGGCTGTGATAAAGTTCTAGAACCTCTCTGGTTAAACACCACTGGGAATGACTGAGGACAAAGATGAGTCCAGGAAAAATGAGCTGCAGGACTCATAGTATTGAGTGTAAGCTTTAAATTCACTCGCTAATAGTCTTGTTACAAATGCATCATAATTTTCTCAGCCTAATACGTTTTTCCCACACAGCAAGTTCACTTTATCAGGCATGCCATTTATCAGACATCCTACATTTAAAAAGAAGATAATGAATCAGCAGGGAAAAAAAAGAAGATAATGTATCACTAGGAAAAAAAAAAAAGCCTTGCCATGTACAGGTTGCTCATGCCTCTAATCCTAGGTACTAAGGAGGCTGAGGAGATCTAAGGATCTCTATTTGAAGTCAGTTGGGAAGGGAAAGTCCAATTAAGCACCCCAAAAACCTGGAGTGGAGTTTTGGCTCAAGTGGTAGAGAGCCAGCCTTGAGCAAAAAATCTCAGAGTTCAAGCCCAGGACTGGCACCAAAAAAGAAAAAAAAAGTAGAGGGGGTTCTTCTGACATAAGAATGCTATTTACTTATCTTTTGATATACAAAAATTGACAAATATGTTTAGTCACGGTAAGTGAAAAGTCTCTAGAAATTAAGATCTACATTTTTTCAGAGATTTGTTACATCGCTGAAGTGCCAAACATAAGATTGGATTGACCTCCTTCTAGAAAGATTTTTTTTGGGGGCTGGGAGCTAGTAGCTCACCCCTGTCACTTTAGGCTAAGATCTGGAGGTTTACAGTTTGAAGTTAGCTTGGGCAATAGTCTGTGACACTTCATCTCCAAAACAACTACCAAAAAAAAAAAGTCTGGCTGGAGGCATGGCTCAAGTGGTAGACTGCCAGCTAGGACTTAAAAAGCACAGGACAGCTCTGTCCTGTGCCTAAGTCTGAGAGTCATTACTAATGTAAACCCTCCCAGGACCAGGGTGACAGTAACTGTTTTATTTTTCTTTTTAAATATCTCTGCAAGATGTCTCTGGGTTTCTTTTAAATCCCAGATTTCCAAGGTGGTGTCACCAGTGGGGAATGCCATCTGTTACCGTGTCAAGATGGACACAGTGAGAAGCACTGAATTTGATGTCTTAATCCTTTGGTCTTGAGGGCTAGATCATCTGAGGTAGAGACAAGCAGCACCATGACTGTAGGCCAGTGCAGTGCTGCCCCTCCGAGTGTGCAGAGGGCCATCCCCTGCCTGGCCATCCTTCACTGTTGGAGGGCTAACCGATGGAAGGCAGCACGGTACACATCTGCCTCATCTTCTCAGTCCTCCACAGCACTTAGTACAATCTTCAAATTCCCTATCCACAGTCCATGGCCACAGTACTCACAGCTTGCCAGGCTCTACAAGCCCCTGAGCTCTTAGAACTGCAAGGTGCTGACCTTGGAGAAACCAGATTCACCCATCTGGCTTGGGAATTCTTCAGCCACACAGAACACAAACTGATAGGAAAAAGATAAGCTGCTCACCAGAACAATGGGCAAGATAACCCAGGAACAAACTCCAATGACCAGGAAATGGATGAAAAGACACATATGCAACACTTTTGTTCCAGAGATATGCTATAACCAAAAAGTCATTTTGTTCATCCCACTAACCAAAGCCACGCAGAAGCTAAAAGGGAGAGCAAGAAGGCACACTCCCACATTACTAGTGAAAAAATGAGATCAAGCCATCTAGTAGTTGCCGAGACATCTATGCTGAAGAAGATTGTAGACCTCAGACTGCAACCTTCCTTCGTTTACCTGCCAAGAAGCTGGATTACAGGCATGCACCGTCATACCCACTCACTTCCTTAATTTTTCCTGAACATTTTTTAAAACTACCACATGTGACTATTTTGCTTTCATCCATTTATTCCACCCACTGCATACCAACTTAAGAGTCCCATAGGTACCTGTGGCCAAGCAGCCCAACAAGATCACCTCAGTGTCTGCTTCAAGACGCTCACCACCTGGTAGGGAAAAGAGATGTTTCCAACAGTAATTTTGATACACTTGGTTGAGGTCAGATCAGTATTCCTTCATTGGGGTGAACTCCATTATACCAAGTCCACTCTGGAGGAGAGGGAATAGCATACCTTCCTGGCACTCAGACCTGAAGGGCCCAGCTTTTTGCTGGTTAATTGAAGAGTCTCATGGGTTGGTTTGTCTGGCTTCCAACCAAGATCCTTAGATCTCAGCCCACTGAGTAGCTAGAATTACAGGGTAAGCTACCAGCACCTGTTATTAAACTAAACTCTTTTACTATTAGCTAAATGGCAGAGGAACATGTACCTTTGATTTATGTATTTGTTGTAATGTTGGGGACTGACCCTAGTTCCCATGTATGCTAGGCAAGTGCTCTACCATTGGCTATACTGACAGCCCTATCAATACATTAAAAAAAAATGAAAATTATAAAGTGTTCTGCTCTAAAGTAGACTTTTATTTCAGACCCAGATTAATTTTATATATATATATATATATATACATCCTATAAACAACCCATAGAAATTTATTTTATTGTTTAATAGCTAGGCTTATACACATAAAACATACCAGGCAAGGTAACTTCCAAAGAACCAGGCAATGTTCTAAAAAAGGAAAAAGTAAATCACAGTTGTTTCACTTTAGTTGGATTAACTAGGCAGAATACTAAATAAGCATGTGTTGACTGAGATTGAATTTTTCATGAGAAATTCACACTAATATGAAATTTACAGAGATTACATAGAAACACTCAAAATACATTTTCACTGACATCATCAATGAATGGCTTAAAGAATAATTGAAACATGTTGACATCTGAAGTTCTGAGTAGACCACAATTCAGTTACCTAGTACCTGTCTCTGTTAACCTATTAGTTCACTGTATAAATTTGTCTGTTTATAAACAGATCCCAGACAAGAAAAATGAGTCTGGAACTATGGGCCTGAAGTTTACATGAGGTTCGAAAGTAAAAATATCCAGGTTGGGAACTAAAGGGTTAATTATGAAAACATTTTAAAAAGAGTTATATAAGGCTGTAAAAACCTTACTGGGCCAAAAGCTATCTGGTCAATCAGAGATATTCCCTAATTGTTATAAGCCAAATTCTTGCCTATCCCTACCATTAGCTAAAAGGCAGCAAAATTCTCTCTTAATGCATTTTAAAAATAAAAATTGTGGAGTACATTGCCTTAGAGTGGATCTTTATTTCAAATATACCTGGTCCCTAAAAAGTAAACGTGAAATCCATTTTTTGCATTTGTAGAAATGCTTAATTTAATATAAATTAGAGGTATTTAAAGTTGCCCTATTTTAAAGGTCTTTGTAACTCAATTTTATTTTTATTTTTTGCTGGTACTGGGACTTGACCTCTGGTCCTCAAGCACTGGCTAAGTTCCTTCCCCTCCCCCTAAGTTGGTACTGTATCACTTAAGCCTTACATGCCTCCAAGTTCCTGAGTTTTGCTTGTTAATTGTACAAAACAGTTTCAGGTATTAGTCAGCCCTGGCTGGCTGAAAGGCTTTGAACTCTGAATATCTAGGATTATAGGTGCCTCACTTCAAAACATTTTAATATTGAGAATTAACTAGTCTGGGCTCTTAAACTTTTTTTTTTTTAACACAACTTCTTGTACTTTCTATTGTCGGTTGCTTCAAGTGATTTTGCCCCCTCCCCGATGTTTCCCAGTAATAAATAATTAACATATAAAATTCAGAAGGTATTCTAAGAAGCAACCTAGGAGATGCATTCTCTAGGCCTGATGAAAGCTGGCACCGCTCTCCTCTCACTTCTCACCTGTGCTTTTTGATCAAAGGCATTTAGGGCTGCAATCACTTTACAATCACCTTTAAAACTAGGAACCCAAACTGCCCCACCCACTCGGCAGTGACCAGTGCTGCCACAATTCCTTTTCCCAAACCCCTCCAAAAACAAGGACTCAGACAGTGGTCAACCAGGCCCAACCTGCGCCGGGGATTCCCTATCTATGGAAACGTTTACCTCTTGTCTGGACCCCAAGACAGCCGAAGCTATATTGAGGTGCTGTCTTTGCACGGTTGCCACGTAATACAAATCATTTTCTGTCCTTCACCAAGCCTTTCTACTTGGCATATGAGGGAGAAGAGCTAAATCTAACGTAGGATTCCTGGACTCTGGAGCTGGGGTCTAGACTCACATAAGGACCCTAGCTGAGGTCGATGTATGTATTAGGCGATTTCTACCACAGCTGCTCTCCAAGGCCTTGGGAGTCTGCGTGAGTTCGCCAGTGCCGAGTACTCACGTTCCTTCCAGGGAGCGGGAAAACCTCCCGCTGCAGGTTCGGTGGCGACGGATGGAAGCTCGTTCGGGGAGGGTCCCGGGATCCTTTTGTTTGAGCACCGCGGGGGAGGGGAGGAGAGGGCGGGGATCTGAGCCTCAGTCTGGACTCGGGCTGGGAAAAACGCCTAGAAAGTTCCAACTGGAGAAGAAGCCCGCTGCAGAGCGCGGGGCCCGGCCGCAGGGAGAGGACTTCGTTCTAGGCGATCGAGCTGGGCGAGGGCTTGGAGACGGCCGGGGAGTCGGGAGAGGGGGCCCGGGCAGGGCAGGGCAGGGGCGGAGGCGGGGTGGCCGGGGGCGGCCAGGGGCCTCTGCGCCTCGCCCGACCAACGCCTCTGCGCACCAACGAGGCGGCGCGGGGCTCCCGACCGTCCGGGCACCGCGCAGCCCAGGGGGCCGCCGCGTCCCCGCCGGGGCGCCCCGCGCCGGTGCCCGCCCCGCCCCGCCTCCCCCCCCCCCCCCCCCCCCCCGCCGCTCCAGCGGAGTCGCCGGCGCTGCGCTCCGGGTCTCACTCACCGCTACGCCCGCCATCGCCGCAGGCGGCCCGCGGGGCTCCGTTTCCGCAGCCCCTGCAGGCCCCTCGCAGACATCTTGGCGCGGTCGGAAACCTTGGCTTCCCGCTTAAAGACACAGCGCTCAATCCCGCGTCCCGGCTGCGGAGAGGGGCGGTGACGCGCGGCCTCGGAGCGCGCGCGCGCGGCGGGGGCGCCGCTCTTCAGCCCGGCCGGCCAGGGAGAGACTTGTGTTTAACTCTTTTTTTCCCCTAAATGACGCAATAGTTTAGGGATGTTTAAAATGCAACTGCTGTTTCATAGCTTTGCGTGAACCTTCCAAGACCTGGATTCTCCAACCCCGAGCTCAGAGCGCGGTGCGCATCCTTTCAGGTCCGAGGTCGGTGGCGTCACAAGATGAGGGCCGAACCCCGCTTTCCCTCCAGCCGAGGTCCGGACAGGTAAAGGGATCGTGCGTCGAGGTGTAAGGCGGACTGCTTTTACTTAGATTATGCGCGGGGACAACTCCCGCACCTCAGTGATTTACACTACAAATGTTTGCTTCCCAAAGAAACTGCCCGCGGCCAGCCGCTCTGGTCCCACTCTTAATTTCACTTCTAGGCCGAAAGCGCCGTGCTCACTGAGTGCTGAGGGATGAAGACGAGTCCTGTTTGCTATTACAGTGCTGTAAACACTCCCACCACCGCCGGTTCCAGTCTGTGAATACTTGTTAGCCAAGTCCCTGGATCTAACATACAGCTGGCAGATGATGCTCTTAAGACGTCCTGCCGACAACTTTGCTCATATTTTACTGGTCAAACAAATCACGTGACCAATGGGCTGGAATAGTGTACCCAGAAGGTCTCTTGCTAGTCCCTTGACGACAAGCAGAGAAGTATAATTATTGTAGAACAATAAATTACTGGATACTGTACATGCAAGCCACTCTACCTGCTTTGATTTGTATATATTCTAGTAATCAAACCCAGGACTTTGAACATACGAAGCATATGCTTAATGGATGAGTTATACTTCTGGAACACTAGACCCTTACTTTTTAGCCTGATTTTTTTCCCCCTATAAAGTTGCAGACCCCACTTAATGGACTTTCCCTTTCCCATTCCATGAATGATTAAAGAATTAAAAACTCCAAAAGGGATAATTTGGCAATGTGAAAGTTATTAGCTTTACCACTTTTCTTCTGGCCCAAAGGATGTTTATGGTTTAAACATCTGATTAAAAGTAACTAATATAAATAATGTGGGTAAAATAATCTCTAATTCATGTTTAGGTTGATTATAATTGGGTACCCTTTTAACAAGAGGTTTCATTTATTTACTTATTTTCAGTGCTGGTGATTGAATCTGTATGGCCTTTTATATATACGTGCTCTATCACTAAACACTAAACTACATCCTGGGCTGGTCTATACTCTAACTGAAGATCTAATTGTTTTGTATGCCTTGGAAATCCATTTGGACACTGGTGGTGGTGGTGT